CCAAAAAAAACATTCTCCTTTTGATCTTCCTTATTTGCAATTCCTCATTGCAAAACAGCGGTTGATATACAGCTGATTTTTTTGTTATTACAGTCCCCACCCCCTCACCTAGAAAAACACCACCTGTCAATTTTTTTATTATTATTATTATTATTATTATTATTATTATTATTATTATTATTATTATTATTATTCCCCGCCACTCTGGGAGGCTGAAGCCCTTTAAGGCTTCTTTCTGTCCACTCTCTGTGAATTACCTGCCCGGAGCGGGTTTCTGGGGGGGGTGCTGCTGCCGGTGTCCTCCCCGTCGACACCGGCAGCATTTAACAACTTTAAAGATGTGCCCCCCCCCTGTAATTTCCATAACAGTTGGAAGGTCAAAAATATAACCTCCTATGACAACTCCTGCAACCCATGAGCTTTCAGACAGAGATCATGCATGGACAAATGTAAAGATCTTTGGAAAGTATTGATCGAAACCACAGTAACAAACGAATCAATGTATCTTCAAGGGAAAGAATAAGTAGATCCATTTGCATATATAGCTCTGTAGGCTTAATTATATTCCATTGCTATTTTGTTATTGCTCTTTTCCTCTGCTTCTATTTATTTTTAATGCATGTAACCTTTTTATCCCCCCCCCGCCAATTTAACTCCTTGTAATACTCTCAATAAAATATAAAGAAACAAGAAAGGAGATTCCCACAAAACATTAGGAAGGCCTTTCTGGTGGTGAGAGCAGTCAGACAGGGGAAGGGGCTTTTAGGGAGAGGTCGGGGGGGGGCATCTGCCAGGGATGCTTTAGCTGTGAGTCCTGAATTGCTGGGGGTTGGACTGGATGACCTTTGGGTTCCTTCCACCTCTATGATTCCATGACCTTTAAGGGAAGTCACCTCCATCTTCCTCTCAGAGCAGATGCCCACAAGCCCTGGGCGGGAAGAGCCAGAGAGAGAGAGAGAGAGAGAGAGAGAGAGAGAGAGAGAGGAGGACATTCCTAAGAACAGGCAGCTCAGCTCTCGCCTCCCTCCAGGAACCAGAAAAGCCAGTTTAGGGCTCAGATCTTTCCCACAGGCCTTTCTGAGTTCTTCTCCGGGGACACCCCAGGATGGCCAGAGCGTCACAAGAACCGCACCAGACATTCACCAGACCCCAAATCTTTCCCCCTTCCTGGCCTGAGAGGCTGCAAATTCTACCTGCCTTTCCCCCTCCAATTGATCAACACACAGAGATGCAGGTGGCCAGGGACCCACCTGTGCACACCTGAGCCTGCAAGGGGCAGCCAAGCCCCTTCACCGCCTGCCCCCCCGCCAGCCCCCTCTCCCCTCCTCCCTAGGCGGCAGCTCCGCCATGACCACAAACGGCGGCGGCAGCAGCAGCCGCGCGCGGCCCGGGCTCCCCTCGCCGGCCGCGGGAGCCAAGGCGCGCGACGAGGGAGCCAAGGCGCGCGATAATTTTCTTAAATTATGTCAGCGGCGCCCGGCAGAGCAGCCCTCTCGGCCACGGCAGCCCGGCTCTCCCAGCCCCCGGGGGCCGCCCTCCTCCCTCGCGCACCCGCAGCGTTCCCGCCCGGAGAGGCGGCGGCGACAGCAGCAGCCGCGCGCGGCCCGGGCTCCCCTCACCGGCCGCGGGAGCCAAGGTGCGCGACGAGGGAGAGCCGCGAGGCGGGCGCTGTGGACGGAGGCGCTGCCCGCCGACCTCGCAGGCAGCCAGGCAGGCAGACGGCGAGAGCCCCTCGCTGGGCGGCCTCTCCTCGCCGCCCCGCGTGTGCTCGCCGCCCGACTCGCCCGCCTCCCTCCCACGGAGGTAGGCTGGTGTGCCGTGGGAGGGAGGCGGGCGAGTCGGGCGGCGAGCACACGCGGGGCGGCGAGCGAGCTCCCTCCCACATCCCATCGCCGCTCGCTTCGGCCGGCCTACTGGGCTGTCGCAGGCGGAAGGCCTGCGCATGCGCGAGGTTTTCGCGCCTTCCTCCAGTAGGCCGGCCGAAGCGAGCGGCGATGGGATGTGGGAGCTCGCTCGCTCGCCGCCCCGCGTGTGCTCGCCGCCGCCGCCCCGCCTCTCACCGCCCGACTCGCCCGCCTCCACGGAACACAAGGCAAAGTTCCGCGGCACACTAGTGTGCCGCGGAACACCGGTTGGGAAACACTGCTCTAGATGATGAAACAGGCTAGATGACAACTGCAGCAATATGGCACAAAATTTGTTGGGAAGGTGACCAAGCTGACTTTAGAGTGCATGACTGTGCCTACTGTATGGTGTTGAGGGCAGCAAATAAATTGTTCTTTTTTCACCTCCATTACATCCTCAATTAACTGCCCAACAGTGCTTTTCCAAGTAGTGTGGGGTTTATTAATATCTGCCCCTCTGAATGGGGAGTCTGGAGCCAGCATGGTGTAGTGGTTAAGAGTGGTGGACTCGTAATCTGGTGAACCAGGTTCGCTTCCCCACTTCTCCACATGCAGCTGCTGGGTGACCTCGAGCTAGTCACACTTTTCTGAAGTCTCTCAGCTTCACTCACCTCACAGAGTATTTGTTGTGGGGGAGGAAGGGAAAGAAGATTGTTAGCCACTTTGAGACTCCTTAGGGTAGTGATAAAGCGGGATATCAAATCCAAACTCCTCCTCCTCCTCTTCTTCTTCTTCTTCTTGGGTGCCTGCTAAGAAAAATTTGTCAGGCATTTTGAGGATAAAGTTGCTTGCTTCTGTGTAAATTTAAACACTGTAGTTGAGACAGATGCAGCTGAAATGTCCAGCATGTCTGGCGTTATGGGATCTGTTTCCGCTTTTGAGTCCTGAGGACTCAAGGTGCTTGTGGCTGCCTGGGCAATTGCCTCCCTTCTTAGTGCTTGCTTGTCAGTTAATTCAAGTGAGCTGGAGGAGACTGACATGATAAACGCATCTTTACATGAAGAGGTTCTACTTATTTCCCATAAAGAAGCAGTAGTGCAACTGTGCCTTTAAAAGTCAACTCTGGAGGCTTGCTGCAAAATATCCCCAGGGTGGGGGAATGGTAGCTGTTCATTTGCAAGTACTTTTGGAGGAAACGGATTATCCGAACACATTCTAGTCTGGGTTCAGGCCTGGCTGTGGGACCATATTGCCCTTGGTCACCTTGATGGATGGCTTTTATTAGGAGAAGGCAGGAAGAGTGTGGCCCTGTTGCTTATTCTTGACCTGTGACTTTGGATACCATTGATTGGTAGTATCCTGAGGATAAGTTCTGTAGCAGTAGCAGTCACTAGGTTGCAGTGGTTTGGCTCCTACATAAGGGGATGGTTCCATAAAATATTATTGGGCTATTGTATCTTAGACAACTGGCAGCTGTGCCATTCCAAAAGGGTTCCATCTGGTTGTTGTTGGCATCTTTCTAACTCAGGAGACAATGGAAGAGTGTGCCTTTGGGGGTAAAGTCAAGACTTTGGAGAACAGCACCCGCTGTGGCTGTAGAGACCAACGCAGGAGAGACATGTTTTGTTGTAGGTGGGGCAGGTGAAGGCATCTGGTTTTCATTGCTACATGTGCACCGTGACGTTCTTCTCTCTGAGCTCCTCCTAGCGGAGGGGAGGAGTTCCATCTTGCCTCCAAATTACTTTTACCATGATAATGCAAGTAAATGTGAATTAACAGACAATATTTCTTCTAAAAATATTCAAAACCTGCATTTGCTTTCATGGTAGGAACTTTCTAAGTAACTCATAATTTCATGATTCCAGTGTTTTTCACATGGGTTGGCCCAAGGTCTCACTTGCTCTTAAGTTTTTCACATCTACTTCCTGTAAATCCATCCTACAGAGAGGCCTTGTGATCATGCACATCTTATCCCCTGCTTTGTCTTTTATTTGCTCTCTCTGGGGCAGGGCTATATCTCCAAGTGTGTTTGTAAAAAGGTTTAAGCACACTGCCGCCTTACTCTTAACCAGGCCTCCCTGGCCTACTCCAATATAGCTATTAAGGAGAATCAACAGGAAATTGTGATGCTGCAAACCTCTGAAGAGAGTTTCACCACCACAAACACAATTTAGTCAGCAGAATCTTCTTAAATGCAAACTAGACCCCTAGGATGGAGGGGGAAGTAATACCTTGAATAAACAGAGAAGCATTACAGCATACCTGGAAGTCAACAAACTTATTTTCTAGGAACAATGGGGAAAGAGTGTTCCCAAGTCAAGAGCCTTCACCAGTGCTCTGCTTTTAGTTACAGAAAATCCTTTCAATAACAGCTCCTCCACAGATTTCAAGTCTCAACAAACAACTAGACTGTTTGACTAGTTTGCATAACTTCCTTAATGAAGTCAGATCAAAGTCATATAGTTTTAGAGAGTTTTGCTATAAATCAAAACATTTGGTAAGTTCGCATCTATGCAGACCAAAATATAAGGATCAATGTTAAATATGAACTGATCTCTAATAGTTTTGCCTTCAAAATGTTAGTTATATCATAACTTATTTACTTGAAGCACAACTCTTCCTAGTTTTGTCTACATCTGAATTAATTCATGAAATTATTTCTATTTTTCATTTTTAAAAGACTAATAATGCAATTAATAATAATAATAATAATAATAATAATATGTTGCCCCTCATTGTTTTGTTCTGTAACCTATGCATGTTTACTTGGAAGTGAGTTTTGCTATGTTTCATGGGACTTCCTCCCTAGTACGTATGTGTTTTCTATGAACAGCCCTGACACCTCTGGGTATAGGACGGTATATGAATTCAATAAATAATAATGACAATATTTCATAGTGTAGTTTTTGGCTGGGATCCTATACTTAGTTACCTGGGAATAAATCCTGCTGGACCCAGTGGTTCGTGCTTCCTCTGCATAATCTGAAGTTTTCTTATTTTCCTTATCCAAACTGATCAACATTTGAAAACTATCTTTTTACAACTTCTGTATTTTACTAAGTATATAAAAGGATAATATTTTCATAGATGAATTATTTCAACATAAGCCTCTGCTGCAATCTCATGGCAAACACAGAACAACTCCAATGATGTTAATCAACAAGCACCAAGCAAAAGGTTCAGACCTATATGAGTTACACAAGAAGTCCTTAGTTTTTCATCCACAACCATCATTGAGATGTAGTCTTTGTAGCGAACATTATTTGTTTCTGGATCCACAGCAGCAGACAGCATTTCCTCCATTTCTTCTTGAGTGAAAGGCTCACCTGCAGCAAAAACAGGAATATTTGCAAATGGCTATCGTTTTTATTTATTTTTTACTGCTCAGCCTTCTCAAGCATTCTTGCTACATACCGTACGTTTTTTCAATCACACCAAGAAAAAAGCACAGACCTGGGTACTTTTGCTTTCATTGCATACACACATAATCATATAACAGATGAACTTGGTAACTTCTTAGCACAATTCAAAGTGCTGGTTTTCACTTTTAATGGCTAGCGATTCAAGTGTCTTTAGGGCCACCTTCTCCCACATGAACCTGCCTGATTATTAAGATCATTCTCAGAAAGTAAAATTAACTAAAGGTAAAGGTACCCCTGCCTTACGGGCCAGTCGTGTCCAACTCTAGGGTTGTGCGCTCAACTCACTTAAGAGGCCAGGGCCAGCGCTGTCCGGAGACACTTCCGGGTCACGTGGGCTAGCGTGACGAAGCTGCTCTGGCGAGCCGGCACCAGCGCAGCACACGGAAACGCCGTTTACCTTCCCGCTATAAAGCGGTCCCTATTTATCTACTTGCACTTAAGGGTGCTTTCGAACTGCTAGGTGGGCAGGAGCTGGGACCGAAAGACGGGAGCTCACCCCGCCGCGGGGATTCGAACCGTCGACCATGCAATCGGCAAGTCCTAGGCGCTGAGGTTTTACCCACAGCGCCACCCGCGTCCCTCTAAAATTAATTACGAACCCCAAAATTGGGGTCCCCTCCAAACCTGGGCCCTTCTCAGAGGCCCTTTTCCGGGTTCCTGCACTATCAGAGGCAGAGGTGGAGCTGACCACATATAGCTGTGGAGTCTGCACTTCAGAACAGCAAAAGCATCTTGTAAATATACCTTCTTCAGTCATGTACTTGACCAGCTCATCTTTAGTAAGATGTCCACATTTATTCTGGTCTAAAACCTAAAAAGAATAGAATATAAAATATTACTCTTCCTTCTCTTGATTTAAGTAGTATTCTCCTCCATAAGTAGAATTTAATTGATACAGACCTCAAATGCACGTAAAAGAATATCTTCTGGAATTGGGCGGTACCTGAAATGATTCAATTAAACAAATACTTAGTGGTGTTATGTATCTCAGTTGTGCCCCCGTCTCTTTGCTGCAGCAGCACATTGCCTTGCTCTTCTCTTTTTAAGAAGAGTATCGTTTGTTGTTGCAATCTGGGCTCTGAGAAAGACCTCTAAGCAGAGGTCTATGAATTACTTATGATGATGCTTACTTTGTACTGCTAATTAGGTAAAGTCATTATACATGCCAATTTTTGTTCTCAACATATCTTCCCATGGAATTTGTTATCATTTTATTTAAGAGAAAGTCTCTAGAAAGACATACACAATGAAGTCAATACAGTGGAAGAATAGTAGAATTGACATGCCCAGTTTTAAAAACAATCTATTATATTTTTTTCACAGTGAAGCTTATACTTTAAAACAGATTTTGTCTGTACAGCTTATAAAAGAACCTTGAATAAAATTAGATGTGTGTGTGTTGTTATTATTATTATTATTATTATTATTATTATTATTATTAATTGAATTTATATACCGCCCTACACCCGGGGGCCTCAGGGTGGTTCACAGAATAAAATCAAGATATAAAACCACAAAATATGTAATAAACATAAAAACAACAACCCAATAGCCCACCCTATATAAATATATGCATGACTCAAGTTATATAAACAGGTCCTTTTTTAAATCACCTTCTTTCTGTCAATACTCTAGTCATCATGGGAAGAAATTTTTCCAAACGAATAAACCCAGTTGGTTCTTCTTCTTCTACCTAAAAATAAAAATACATAAGCAAGATGAAATACAGACAAACTGAAAAGAAAATGAGTTTTCTCAAGTTTAAGCTAGCAGATATTTGCAAACATCATAATAAAAGAAAGGCAAATATCTTATCCTTCACATGGATGCATTGAATCCATGGACTAATGCTGAGAATAGGACATCTGTAGCAGAGGGCAGTCAGATGTGGAGAGCAGAGTGGATACATCAGACCAGTCCCCATTCCTCTCCTTCCTCGCTGATCTGTAACACTGGCCACATACAGATGGCCTGGCCTTCACACAAAGCAGAGTGCTCAGACACGGGGCCCAGAGTATGCATTGCATGGGCATAATCAGAGTGGGAGTGTATGGTGAAAGTCTGAATCAGTGGATGTTGAAAACAGGAGGAGCAGAATGCCTGCAGAATGTACCAGGAACACGTCCCCTTTAAACTACCTTGCACCAATATTAAAAAAAAGGAGCTTGGGGTTTCTCTGATGTCAGCATAGGAACAAAGGAAGCCGATTTATACAGAGTCAGACCGTAGGTTTATCTACGCTGATTAGAAGCAACTCCCCAGAGTTTCAGAATGAGGTCTTTCTTAGCTATACCTGGCAGGTCTTGAACTCTGAATCTTTTGTGTGCAAAGCATGCACTCTGCAATTGAATTACAACCTCGTTCCCAAATAACTTAGGAATAGTGCTTGTAGTTCCTCAATACAGTATTTCATCTCCCGCTAGATTTGCAACCATTAGCAGGCAGCCTACACGTTAGCACAAATTACGGTATACTATGAGAGGCCAGTTATAGATAGATTGCACTTACCTAATACCTGGGTCAGCTGACACCAGTGATATGTTACAGTGCAGAAAGCTATCTGATGCCACTTTGCTTTTCTATCTTAGGAAAGTCATGGGAGATTGGTCTCCACATTATACCAGAACAGATTCTTAAATAGAAATTTTATATAGCAAAATATAATGACTCAATAAAATACACTAAATAAAATACGCTAAATACACTTTGTATTGGCAGACAATCCTATCTCAGTTTGAAAACATGCTGGGAGAATAACTGAGCATTAATAGGATGTGTTCTTATTACTGCCTGGCCTTCTTCCACCAGCCTTGCCCCACCCTCCAGTCTCTGCTTCTCAATTTGTATTATATTATTTTATGCACTGTGACTTGCTGTTGTTTTATTGATTATAGTTTAGAATCTTTTTCTTACAATTGTTAAGAGCGGATTTCTGTTTAATTTTTATATGCTGATATTTAATATTATTCTATACTATTCTAATGGATTGTTGAATATTACTTTATTTGATATAAGTTGCTCATTTTAAAGTTATGTTTTATTATCACATTTTTGTATTGGATTAGATTGTTATAAGGTGTACCTTCTATGTTTCTTCAGCTTGTAAATCACTTTGGGTATTGTAAAATAGAAATACGGTATACAAATTAAAAGTGATGATGATGATGATGATGAAAATTAAGATTCTAACAAGGATACTAAGATGATTCTAACAATTATATAGGTTAAAGCTTGTTGTTTTAAACATATTGTTTGTTGACATCCAATTTGTTCATTATCATAATACTCCCAAGACTACACAAGACAAGCAACAGTGGGCATTTTCAGTAACTCAACATTGTCCTCTAGTGGTAACAGTAAATTTGTGCAAAACACTGCTCCTTCGAAACAGAATTTTTGAAAGAATAAAATGTTATTATATGAAATTGTTTACACTGAAGCAGTTATTTCTCTTGGAAGAAGGAAACCATCCATGAGGAACAGGATACCATTCATAGTCAAGATCAGAAAAGAACAGAACAGAGGAAGTCTAGTGACAATGTGTAGAATAGACCTCTAGTTAAGGAATTGTTACAAAAGTGCTTTATCCACAAAAGTAAAGTTATACTTCTAAGACCTATTGACTGCATTCATTTTTTATACAGTAGCCTGTAGCATTACCAAGCCATTATTTTACTTCATCAATTTCACAGTTGAGTATTTCCTGAAAACTGGTATTTATTACAAAGGGGGGATTTGATTAGACAGTCCTGAGGTTAAAGTCATTAGCCCTATCTGGGCATTTGGTCTTGTCAGGTATAAACAAAGGTGCAAGGAGAGTGAGGGTGCAGAGCTAAGTCCTGTCCCTGCAGAATTTTAATTCTTGCAAGGGTTTCCACCACAGGTAAGGTTCTCTGCTTCAGTCTTTTAGCTCTCACACTCATGGAGGACTCTGAACTGTGCACAAATGATGCACTTTAGGTATGGGTATAAAGGCAGTTCCTCCGTATGGTATTTTAAACTTTTGTTAATTTAGGAAGAGAGATCAGATTTCCTGTATAAAATGATAGAACTTAAAAAACACAGTACCTCTGCAATCATATCATGTAGATCCCCTTCACTTGGGCAGCATCCTAATGACCTAATGATTGTACCAATCTCCCTGAAAGAAAGAATATATTTGTTAATAAATCTGCAGTGCAATACAAATCTTTAGCAGCTACAGTTGTGGGCCAATTCCTCTTTTACCCGGCAGCTCCCCATACCCTACCTAAACATACCCTACTTACATTGCTTAGAAGCTGGCCAGAATATCACACCATTCGACATTGGAGTTAACGCTTTATTATCAAAAACATGATCTTTACAGACTTGGATTTGTGTCAGGCCTAATGAGTGCAGTAGTTCGGTAGGCCTTACCCCATGAAATCAGTTGTCTAGACTAAAGGTCCCTGCCTCCCCTCAGCCATCTATGTCCCCTTTTCTCCAGGCTTTTCCCAAGCAATCAGAGACTGCACCTCCTTGTCTGCATCTGCTCCTCCTGCTTCATGCCTTTCCTGGCTCTAGGAGTCAGTGGGGAGGGGAGCTTGTCTCAACAGAAGAGACACCAGTGACTCATCACCAGCCTGACTCATCTCTGTTTCTTGACCTCCCTCCTCCCACTCACCTGCTTTAGCTTCTGCCTCTGATTCTGGACTTCTCTCTGCCACAGTCTCTCCCAGCTCACTAAGCCCTGTTACCTCTTCAGCTTCTGACACCTTCTCTTTTCCCTCTAATCACTCATTGTTGTCCCACCACCACTCCCTGGGCTCTGAGCCTTCTTCCCCTGGTGGTTTCCCAGCTGGCTCCTCCCACCATTCTTCTGTGTCCAACCAGTTCATGACAAGTTCTGACTCCTGATCCTCCAGAGAGGATTTTTAGGGGACACAGACAGCTGCAGGACGAAGAAGAGGACAGGAAACTTCCCTTGCATGAACATATTTTGTTTGTTTGTCCGTGTGTTTGTCTGTTTATTGTTTGTTTGTTTATTAAATTTCTATACCACCCTTCATCCAATGATCCCAGGGTGGTTTACAATATAAAAACACAAAAATACATAACATAGTAACAAACAAATACCTCCCATCCTACAGTGACTAGATATCTAAAATTACTTCAAATTTAGTCGGTGCTCTTGAGACCAGAGATACAAGCCTAGTGGCAAATTAAACATGTATCAGCAGCTCTCTTTAATAAAAAAAATTTAAAGTTGAACTGTGCTTATTGATACAGATAGGTAGCCGTGTTGGTCTGCCATAGTCAAAACAAAGAAAATTCCTTCCAGTAGCACCTTAAAGACTGTGCTTATTGAGAAAGTGTTGCAAGATTTTGGGCATGTGTATCCTTGAAAGAAAATTTAAAGAAGATACAGTAATCTTTTTTTCCTTTTGCATGTCTGTATAGAAACAAAACAATTCTACAGGATGATGCTATAACCCAATTAAGTTGCTGTTGTAGGAGACAACTGCTAAAAAATAGTCTAAGAGTCTTTTGGCAATTTATGAACTATTTATTATAATGCCATAATAAATATTATTTTCATTTTTAAGGTACCACAAGACTCTAATGCTGTAGCTTTTGCTGTGGCTAACCTTTCTAGAAACTGAAATAGCTAAAAAGGCATCCTATACAGTTTTGTCATCCTTGCCTCCGAAACACCTTACAAATGCCTTTAAGTTTGTGCTGGTGCCAGAAGTATTCCAAGAGTCCTTCAGATAAGGCAAAGGGAAACTACCAGCTGCCTAGTTCCCACCTCCATCCACTCATTGCCCCCTAAAAGCCACTGTATAGTTTGGGAGCTTTCCCGGAGTGCAGACAAGGCAGTGTCAATGGCAGCTGCTGCTGCATCAAAAGGAGTGAGGCTAATTCACAAGCCCTGGGGCAAATGTACAGTGGTACCTCAGGCGCTTCAGGTTACAGGCGCTTCAGGTTACAGACTCCACTAACCCAAAAATAGTACCTCGGATTAAGAACTTTGCTTCATGATAAGAACAGAAATCGCGCAGCGGCGGCGCAGAGACAGCAGGAGGCCCCATTAGCTAAAGTGGTACCTCAGGTTAAGAACAGTTTCAGCTTAAGAACGGACCTCCAGAACGAATTAAGTTGTTAACCCAAGGTCCCACTGTATAGCAATATACACCAACTCTGGCTTCTTACACTCTAAAACACTGTTACATTGTAATAGTTCTGAAAGAAGATCTTCCAGACCTGACATCCACAGTTTTATTACACTCATGGTCAAACACCTCAAAAGCCTCAGTGATCTTCTTATGGATTTCAGTTATTGCAGACTCTGCAAAATGAAACAATAATGAATGTGTTATATATATATAATTTCTCTTGTCCACAGTATGACAAGATCTTTCTTATAACCAACTAAAGTGTCATAAAACAGTGAGGAATCTTCTGAGTTCTCTGTAATTCTTTATCAGATAAGGCATTTAGCAAAACATATTATTTATAAGTTTTGTTTGTTTACTTTGTGTGTTGTGAGCTGCTCTGAAAACAATTTCCTTTGTGTGAAGGCAGTATATCAAGTAAAACAGAAAGTCGGTGAAATGTACCGTAATTGAAATTTCTCAATCCGCTTTCTTTGAATCTGTCCCTTTAATCATTTCTGAAAAACTCCAATTGGTAATGACATTTCGGAAAGATGTTGCCTCCCCCATCCTAGTCATCTTAGGGCTAAACTAAATGCATTTTCACATCTCTAACCCTGGCAAGCATGATTTTTTAAAAAATCAAAAATCTGGGCATTGATGTTTGGGGGTTTTAAACATTTGCCCCGCCACAGTCCCAAGCAGAACCAGAGTCCGTCCCCTGCTCCATCAGCTATTTGCAGTGGAAGGCAAGCTCCTGTTGGTAGTAATGGGAGCCTTCCTCACAGTGGAAAATAGCACATCCCCATAGCTGATTCAGATCAAACCATGGCAACTGGTGTCTGTCACACCACAGACCACATCCAGTTACCTACACACCAGCTATTTATTCATCTATTAAAATGCATTTTAGGTCTAAAGGCATAAAAGATCTGCATGCATACTTACTGAAGATTTTGATACAAATAAATTTTCATGACGAGGGTGCTGAATATACTAATTAACCAGGATAGGTTGACACTGGATTGTACCCAACTAAGTTCTACTCAGAAGAGACCCGGTGAAATTAATGAACCTAAGTTAGCCATGTCTATTAATGTTAATGGATCTGTTCTGAGTAGTACTAGCACTAGCTACTCTATTGCAAGTTATAGTGAAGGATAATTTACAGCACCATGCTAATGATGTCTACTCAGAAGCAGGTCTTGTTGAATTCAGGGGAACTTGAATTCGGGTAAGTGGGGTTAGGATTGCACCCTTACTGCTCATTGAGGACATCTTTGTATAAGAAAGGTTTGGAGTGTTTTGTCCATTTTCTTTAAGTGGTTATATACTAGAAATCAAAGCCTGTTGAACAGTTGTGTTTTTGAGAATATACTAGAATACTGATTAAGATGCATTTGGCTAATACTGCATTTGGCTAATACTGTAACACAGCATATTAGAATTGGCCTAAGAATTTAATAGTAGTGTTTATACATTTCTTATTTGTTCATTTCCTTGCAATAAAGAACATTGTATATTCTATATACATTTTTTCTTAATTTATTTTTTGGCTACGATGTGTGTGGTTTTTTAGCTTGATAGTAAGCGGTGAAATTATTCATACTTACTTCCAGAACTATAGACCTTTTATTCACAGCATTTTAAACTTGATAATTAAATGGTAGCTTTATAATGAGTTTTAATTTAAAGTGATTATTTGTCATGGTATAAACTATGCAAATTGCATTAATATTTTATTGGGGTTGCCACCTATGTGAATTACCAGCAATGGTCCCAGATATTTGGGAAATTTTAGGTGACTCTTAGTAAGTTATATTGGTTCCATCTCTTTGAGGATAGGGAAGGCAGGAATTTTCAGATCGGCTTCTCTGACTGCTCTCAACAGTACCCAGTAGTTTTGATGCTATTCCCTTGCATAAGGTAAAAAGGTAAAGGACCCCTGGATGCTTCAGGCTGAGGGTGCCAGTGTTTGTCCACAGTTAGTTTTCCAGGTCATGTGGCCAGCAGGACTAAACCGCTTCTGGTGCAATGGGACACCATGACGAGTGCCAGAGTGCATGGAAACATTGTTTAGCTTGGATAATAATAATGACAGTACCCCAACTGGTAAAGAGAAGAAACCAGACAGCTGATGGGGGGGGGGGGAATCTAACGTAACTCTGAAATGTGACAGACCATGTTGCATTCTTCTTCCATGTTAATTTGCAGAATAAGGACTTCCAGAATGGTAGCCATGTCCATCTGTTGCAGCAAAACCAACAAAGAATCTTGTGGCAGCTTTCAAATTTAGCAAATGCACTGTAGCATATGCTTTCGGGGATCACAGGGTGCTCATAGCATAGTAAATTCACTCTATGTGGGCCAACTCTTGGTGTTGGTCCAGAGGCTGCAGCAGTGGCTACAGTAGGTTCATTCGGGCACAAACTACACTCTGCTTGTAGGATTTGCATTGGCTGCCGATTTGCTACTGGGCCAAGTTCAAGGTATTGGCACTAGCCTATAAGGCCCTATACAGCTCAGGATCAGGTTACTTGAGAGATGGCCTTATACCCTCAGCAGATCACTGCAATCCTTGGGAGAGTTTCTCCTGCAAGTTTCATACATCTCAGAAACCGCTCTGCAGTACCGTAACTCAGAGTAGGGCTTTTAGTGTGGTTGCCTCTGTTCTGTGGAACAGCATTCCCAACAGCTCAGGACTCAGATTTCTTAGTTTACTCCTGTCTTCACAGCACAGCAACCTCTTGAGGTGGAGCAACTCCTGTTTCCATGGTGCACTGGGCTCTTGAGGCAAAGAAATGATCCTAAAGCATTCATAAGCACACTTACAGTGAAGGAACTGCTACTAAACTCAGCAGAGCTAACATGAAAATAGTTAGGAATACATGATTTTGGTCCGAACTAACAAGAATGTATGAACTGCAAAAAACTTGCACTACTTTTATTTGCAAATGCAATTTCATTTGATCAAAATGGACCACCCATGGAAGCAAATATATGTACTTTTGGGTATTTCTGCCAGTAACCAACAAGACAAATAAATGCAGTATTGGATGCAAGGATATAGCCATGCCTAGCAATATTCATAAGACAACTTTGTGACCTAATTCAAGATTCTACACCATGGACTGATACTGCTTGTGCACTATCAACAGGGGCAAGTCACCATATGTCCTCTTTTTCCAGGACACATCCTCTTTTTCATGGGTATGTAAAATGAGAGTCGTCATAGTGATCCATTGTTAAAAGTAAGGTAAAGATAAAGAGACCCCTGACCATTAGGTCCAGTCGTGGCCGACTCTGGGGGTTGCGGTGCTCATCTCGCTTTATTGGCCGAGGGAGCTGGCGTACAGCTTCCAGGTCATGTGGCCATCATGACTAAGCCGCTTCTGGCGAACCAGAGCAGCGCACGGAAACGCTGTTTATCTTCCCGCCGGAGCGGTACCTATTTATCTACTTGCACTTTGATGTGCTTTTGAACTGCTGGGTTGGCAGGAGCAGGGACCAAGCAACGGGAGCTCACCCCATTGCAGGGATTTGAACCGCCAACCTTCTGATCCTAGGCTCTGTGGTTTAACCCACAGCGCCACCCGCGTCCCCATTGTTAAAAGTAGAAGTCCGCAAATGTGTCCTCTTTTTTGCTCTTCAAAATATGGCAACCCTAGTTAGAGAAACCTTACTTTACATGTCACAAAAGCCATTTTACCTTTCTGAAGTAAAAAAAAAAAAAAAAAAGTATGTTATATGCCTAATAATAGTCATTGGCTTAAACATTGCAACTGAGAGCATAATAAACATGACAACTGATGAAATGGCTCATGGTTGAGCCCATTCATCATATGTCTATGAGAATATCTCCACAATTAAAAGAGTACTAACTTATCAGCAGTCTCGCTGAGTTCAAGGAGATTATTGTAGACGAAATGTTTTGTATATCAAAACCTTGATCAAAATGACATACAAAGAATATTTCAAGGTAATAAGACTCAAGAGATGCTTTAACCTTGAGAGCTCTTGGAAACTGTGCATGACAATACCCTGAAGATTAATTATTAGTCAATACTGTGCCTGTTATTGCTCAGAGAGAGACAAAGAACATCTACTGAAATTTCTAATTTATACAGGAGCATCGGTTCACAGAATAAAAAGTAGGACCAAGACTTGTGTATCATATAATTCTGAAAGTGAGCTTTTAGGGAAATGCTGTTTACCACATTTCTGAGAACCAGTCATCAAATCAATTTATATAAACTCTTCCTCTTTGAGGAAGAAAAGCTTTTATCTTTCTTGTGTTCAGCTATTTTATCGGCAATATCCAACAAAAGACTAGATCATTCCTGAAGTCTTCAGAAATATTAAATAATTGCTGGGGAGAAGTGTGGAAATTTCCCAGCCTCCTAATATTTAAAGTTTTCAGCTAAGAAGTTATAACACCATACAAGGTGAATCACTACCATGCACACACTCTGTTAATCAGCTGTATAGGGCACCTATTTCAGATAGGGAATTTAGAGAAGATTATGTATGCATGTTTATATACCTTTTAAATAAATGGCAATTAAGCACTTAAATTTAAATCTTATATAAATCAATGGGATTTACAACTTGAGCCTAACCCAAGTTAGGCTTGGCCAAGGGGGGGCAGGGGGCAGCTCCCCCCCCCATCAAGTAAATCAATAAAAGTACCGTACTTAACTGAGGTCCTGCACTCCCCTCCGCAACATTCAGCCTGGCTACGCCCATAGCCTAACCCAGTGTATTTTATTTTTGCTATACAAATATGCCCACTAAACTTACTAACTGACAAAAAAGAATTTATAGCCCACCAAGTCACACATGCTAATGTAGATTTAGGTGGGTATCTGTCTCAGGAGAAAATGGAAGAGTGCACCTTTGAGGGTGAAGTCAAACCACTGGAGAGTTACAGCACCTCCTGTGGCTGTAGAGACTGATATGGGAGAGACATGTTTTGTTGCAGCTGGGGCGTATAGGAATGCACTGTTGTTATGCTGGGCAAAACATGTAGCTACTTTCAGCCCTGGAGAAATGTAATATGTGACACGACTGTCCAAAAAGGGCATCTATTTATTGCATACAGTGGTGCCTCGGGATGCGAACGGGATCCGTTTTGGAGCCCCATTCGCATCCTGAAGCGAACGCAACCTGCGTCCGCGCGTCGCATCTCGCCGCTTCCGCGCAAGCGTGTAATGTCATTTTGACCGTCTGTGCATGTGTGCACGGTGAAACCTGGAAGTAACACGCTCCGTTACTTCCGAGTCGCCGCGGAGCACAACCCGAAAATACTTAACTTGAAGCACATTTATCCCGAAGTATGACTGTACAGATATGGGACGCGGGTGGCGCTGTGGGTAAAAGCCTCAGCGCCTAGGGCTTGCTGATTGAAAGGTCGGCGGTTCGAATCCCCGCGGCGGGGTGCGCTCCCGTTGTTCGGTCCCAGCGCCTGCCAACCTAGCAGTTCGAAAGCACTCCCGGTGCAAGTAGATAAATAGGGACCGCTTACTGGCGGGAAGGTAAACGGCGTTTCCGTGTGCTGTGCTGGCTCGCCAGATGCAGCTTTGTCACGCTGGCCACGTGACCCGGAAAGTGTCTCCGGACAGCGCTGGCCCCCGGCCTCTTAAGTGAGATGGGCGCACAACCCTAGAGTCTGTCAAGACTGGCCCGTACGGGCAGGGGTACCTTTACCTTTACCTTTATGACTGTACAGATAAATGTGAATTAATGTGTAACGCCGCTGACATAAGTAATAATATTTATTATTTATGCCCCACCCCATCTGACTGGGTTTCCCCAGCAAACTGAATTGTGCCCTGCTTATAAAAATTACATTATATTTTTAATACTGATGATTTCGTTATGCAAAATAAAACTATATGGGATAGCTCAGTTGGGAGGGCATGAGACTCTTAATCTCACAGTTGTGCCCGTGTTGGGGAAAAGATTCCTGGGTTGCCATGGGTTGGATAAGATGACCTTGTGGCGAGGTCCCTTCAAACTTTTATGATTCTGTGAAATATGGGAAATATGTGCGTCAAGCAGTTAAAGAGCTGAAGAAATTGCGTCTGACTGGAGTCTGACAGTGTGAAGTCAGCTGGCTAATATTTCCAGCGCGGGATGTGGAGCAAGTTTCGCATTCAGGCAGTTCTGCAACACCCCATTTTGGGGCCGCTCTCAAAAGGCATCCTGCTGAATTCTTCTGCCATGTTGGAGATGAACGTGCCATCTTGCAGGGAGGGAGGGAGGGAGGCAGGTGTGCGCGTGGACCCAGCGGGCTCCGACCCGCCCGCCCAACCTGTGTTCTCTGGGCTTCACTACTACTCCACAAGACGCAGCCTAAGGGTAGCACCGGGGATAAAGGCCGAGAGAATCAGCCAGCTGCTTTTCCTCAGCCTCCCGGAGGCTTTGCCCTTACCCGCTGCAGCGGCTTCCTTGTCCTCAGTCGCCATGCTGTTTCCTTAGCGGTTGCCATGGAGACGCTGGAGCTTCACAGGCCTTCTCCCTCTCCAGCGCCTCTGTCGCGCTGACTGATTTGGCGGCAACGCGCACAGGCGGATTTCTCTGTGTCGGTCCGTTCCTACGTGTTCTTGCATTGCGGTGCTCTCGTAGGAGAGGGTGCTTAAGAAAGCGAGCATGGGGAAACATCAGGAAACAAATGCACGGGGAGCAGTTTGAAATGCGCTGTGTTTCTTGTTCCTATATATATCGTACACATAGCGGCTGCATTGCATTGCTTGCGTGAAGTGCTTTCCAGTTCCAAAGCAATATGCGCGCACTTTCTCACACGCACACTTCATGCCCTCAGGCCCAAGGTTCGCTTTTACTAAAAGGGAGGGCAGGAAGGTCTAGCAGAAGGGGGAGAAGGGAATTTTTAGAGACTTTTTCTAATCACCTTAACATAAGTGTGCTGTAAGAAGAAACAAAACAAAACCCCACTTTCTGTAAGTTGTCAAAAAAACCCACCAACACTGAGCCCCATGCACACTGACTAGACAGCTGCAGAGGAGGGATGTTCTGGTTCTTTGCTGGCGGAAACCTCCTTGGCAGCATCGACAAGCTGTTTGAAATATGATTTAATTCAGAAGCATGTGCCCAAATAACAATAATATAAATTTTCTCCCCAATCCCTAATTAGGCATACTATCTTTTTCTCAGTCAAAAGCTCTGGGTCTTTTATGGCTGATGAACACGCAGAAATTCAATCTTGGTTGCACTCCTAGACATATCTACTCAGAAGTAAGTGTTGTTAAGGTCAATGGGACTTACCACCAGGCAAGTGTATATAGCAGGGATGGGGCAGTGGCGTAGCGTGGGTTGTCAGCACCCGGGGCAAGGCAAGTAATTTGCGCCCCCTAACCCGTGGATTTGCGCCCCCTAACCCGTGGATTTGCCCTAACCCCAGATGTTGCGCCCGGTGCGGCCGGCCTCCCCTGCACCCCCCACGCTACGCCACTGGGGTGGGGAGAGAGTAGATTTGTATTTACTGACAGATTTCTGGGTGATTTGCAGTTGATCCCTGAGGATTTCTGACTCCGTTATTTAGCAACAGTAGCAAATGAATGACTCCCCCTTCCGCCGTTTTACTGCTGAAATGAAGGTAGCTTGGGGTAAGCAGGGGTGGATTTCTATGTGAAAGAGTTGTGAGCTCTATTCAGTTCTGGTTTGATTGATTTGATTTATTACGGCCATTGGCCCATATCTAAAACAATACATCAAAATTTATCCATAAACAAACAATTTAAACAGTTCCAAGTTAAAACACCCATATAAAACCAATTTTACTTCAATTAAATAAACACTATATACAATAAGCTCCCTCTATGTCAACCGCAATTCAGATCCCTCGGATTTTGGGGGCTATGCGACTTAGTTCTGGCACTTATTGATGGTTCTTAAGTTTGGCTAAGCTGTCAGAGTCATACAGTGATCCATTTCTCCTCTTATGAAATAAGACATTAATCAGGTATCTAGCGACTGCAAGGGATCTGCTTGAGTCTTCGTCGTTTAATAAGTATATTATTTGGGCTTCCTGAGGTCTGACAGCAATTCTCGATAAATATGGGGCCAAAAACTTGGACCGTGGAGCCGAATATAATGGACAACAGAAGATTATATGATATAACGATTCTATAGATCCACTTTTACAGTCACAGAGGAGTGAGATCTGTCCGTTGGAGAGTCTGTTACCCAACACATTTGATGGGAAAACATTGAATCTAGCCTTTATAAAGGCATACCTGTGCATCACCCCAGATAAGGTAGTTAAATAAGATGGAGGTTTCATTGGTGGTGTTAAGCCAAGGTTTATCGGCGAACAGGTGCCACCACCTGTCGCAATATTAAATTGTAAATCCATCTCCTCTAATTTGTGAGTTATAATTCTCTTGGCAGAAATTAAATCCAATTTTAGTAGTTCAGATGGAGATAGTCCTAAGGACACAAGTTTCCCATGTATTATTTTTGCCCAAGGGCTAGGGAAGTCATCTCTCCAGAGACACTGAATCAAGTGGAGATTTGGAAGTTTATGCCATAATGCCAACCAGTAACAGAGGATGCATTTCCATAATGTGGTTCCTAGAGATGTAACATTTAGTTCGAGTCGTATAGCAGTATTGCCTACACACCTGGGTAATTTTAGCAACCTTCTTAGCAGCTGGTTTTGGATTACCTCCAATTGGGTTAGATTAACAAAGGACCCCCATATTGGGATTGCATATGCTATTGTTGCAATCACCTTTGCCTTGAAAACTTTTAACACTGATGGAATATGGAAGGCCCCATCTGAAAAGAAAAAACGCAGTAGCGCAAAGGAAAGGGCTTTAGCTCTATTTAATACATATGCAAGATGGACCTTCCAGCCCATGTTGTGTTGGAGAAGGACTCCCAAGTATTGAAATTTAAAGACTTGTTCGATGGCTTTTCCGTCTATTCTCCAATTATAGGTTTTTCGACTCTTGGTGAAAATTAGGACTTTGGACTTTGCATGATTAATTGTAAGAAAATTTGATTTGCAGTAAGCATCAAAAATTTTTAATGCCCTCCTAAGGCCCACTCTTGAAAAAGATAGGATAACTGCGTCGTCTGCGTAGAGTAGAAGGGGGCAACGATATTGGGCAAGACGGGGGGCGTGGATCGTTTCTTGAGAATCTATCAGAGGCGCCCTCATATCACTTATAAATAGATTAAAAAGGGTCGGGGCAAGGATACATCCTTGACGAACACCTCTATTGATGGTTACTGGATTTGAGAGGTCGCCGGCCGGAGTGATTCTTACCCTAGCGGCCGATCCGTCATGCAATTTAGTTATTAGCCACAAGAGTCTTTTGTCTATTCCCCATCGTGCTAATTTTCCCCAAAGTAGTCCTCTGGGGATGCTGTCAAAAGCGGCCTTTAAATCAATAAAGGCCGCACAAAGTTGGCCTCTATTTGGGGCGGAATATTTCCGGGCAAGGTGGTATAAAACTAAGACATGATCAACCGCTGACTGATTCGGTCTAAAACCAGCCTGTTCAGGCCCAATCAGGTTGTTCTCTTCGGCCCACTTAGTAAGCTTAGTTAACAAGAACCGTGCATATATTTTCCCAATTATTGACAATAAACTGATATTCCTGTAATTTCCCGGATCATCTGTTGAGCCCTTTTTATGAATTGGAATAATAATCGCATCCTTCCATATTCTTGGGACCTTCCCACTGTTGTTTACGGCATCAAAAGTAATGGCCAGGATTTTCGCCCACCAGTCTGCATGAAGTTTTATAGCTTCCGCCGGGACTAGGTCGGGACCGGGGGCTTTTCCAACTTTGAGATTAGAAATAAGTCCGTGGATTTCTTCCGGGTCAGTGGGAGGCCAAAGAGGGAGCTGCTCATAGAATCCATCAATTGTATTAATATTAAGGTCTGGTAAGGCAAAATAATTCCTTAGATAGGATTCCCAGACTGGGGCAGGAATAACTGTTAGGGGGTATCTTTTAGATTTTCTGTTAACCAACAGCCAGAATTTTCGGGAATTACGGGTGTTTGAGGCAGCTATAAGTGCATGCCAGCGGTTCAGTTGCCATTCCTGTTTGGCCTTTTTTTGCGCATATTTGTAAGCTGATTTTGCCTGGTAGTACTCCTTGGGAAGCATAGTCGCCCCTGAGGATTTGTAATCATTATAAATAGCACAAAGATGTTGTTTGGCTTGTTGGCAATTACGGTTAAACCACAGTGCACCTGTCTTGGAGTGGGCCTGATTAGCCTGGTGGGTTGGGACAGTAAAGAATGACGTAAGGTCATTCAACAGATTGGCAAATAGATTAATAGTTTGGCCGATTCAGTTCTGGTACTAAAATTCCTGTGCTCAGTTTTTTAATTATATTGCTACAGTCCTAGCCCCACTTAACCTGGGATTAAGCCACACTGAATTCAGTAGGAGTTACTTGTGAGTAGACATGGCTAGAATGGCACTGTTAGTATATGACTGTTGTACCAAGTTCTGGATGGTGCCTCTCATGGTTTTAGTAAAAATAAAAATAAAATAGTAGATCCTGGAAGGCTGAACTCTGATGTCCATAGCAGAATCCTGAGTGTTGATGCTGCTCAAATCAGTCTGGAAGCTACATACTTCGGATGCCATACTGTCTAATCTCATATATATATGGAGTCTGCTATGGTTCTTCAGATTGAGGAACATGCACACTGTAAATAGATAATTATTATTAAGATATTCCATTGTAAACAGGTTGTAAGATTGTGCCCAGACTCAAAACAGTGATGGGGAATGCTGCACCCCTTGTGTTACTAGAGAGCTTATTTTTCATCTAGATCTCAGCTCACTTTCTTTCTTTGCCTATTTCAAATGCAAAACTGCTGTTTCTCATACCCTTCTCTCCAGGGCACAGGTCTGTGCCTCATTCATTCAGATGAATTGCCCATTCAGGAAATATCCACAGTCATTAAGAAACATTAGGACTCTTTTGTCAAAGATGCTGGCTATTCAGTGATCAGGCCAGTCAAATTCACAGCAGTTTGCCCTCACAGAAAACATTTGCAACTATGCTGAAATAAGTTGCTATGATAGCCAAAATGACTGGCTCCAATTTTCCTAAGGAAAAGACTCCTAAAAAGATTTACAATTAAATTTAAAGATTTAAGAATGAAGCACACAAGAGCATTCACTGGGTAAGTAATCCACGTATTACAAAGGTATTTCCCCATCACCAATAAATGGTTTCCCTTCAGTCAGACTTTCTATATTAGCAGGACAAAAGGTGATGCTTGCCTCTTTATCCAGAGGCATTGTCCCCCTTCCAGGTACATGCTGTTTTGCATGAAGATAACATTCCTTTCAGGCTTGCAGCTTCATAGTCCTCACAAACAAGTTATAAAGTTTTTCTTCACCAAGCTGCCACCGCTCCCATCCAGCTCCCTCTTCCACATTTTAGATGATTTGGCATACTTGAGACAATTCTGCTTTGTACCATTCATCTTTTCCAGTAGCACACCTAAATAAATAGAAGACTATAGCAGATAGAACCTTTTAGAAGATATTATCTTTCCTAAATAATCATAAAAGTTAATCCCTCTTGAGCTGTGCTTCTCTTTGTCCTAAAGCTGAGTAAAATCCCAGGTCTGTAGAGATTCCTGCTGCTTAGCAAAGGGTCTGGAGAAACATTTCCCATGAATATGAAATGGACATTCTGATCAAATTCTTATTCTTTCTTTCTTTTTA